TCCTTGGTCCTTTGGGACATATTGGCTACTTTGGAATTGGTCTCCTTTTGTCAATGCCTATGGTACGACCCCTACACCTCACTCCAGCTGCAGCACCATTACTAGGTCTTACGTCGTTCCGAATGGAAGATGCAACTCAGGAAGGGGTTTTTACCAATCTTTGCTGGCATGCCGGTCATCTTCGTGGCGTGGATCGTCGGCAATGCTTATGCGTGAGTACAGAAAATCCGTTGGAAGTCTGTGAGGCAGCTGCTTGCTCGGATTTCAGGCATTTCGTTCTCCTGTATCTCACTACTGACGGTGAGTCCTCAACAGTTTTTTGTCTACCATGTTGAGGGAAATACTCTTTCAGAGTTCGTCTTTGGTGAACTACCCAAGTACCAGACTATAGTCCGCGATATGGTAGCCTACATGCTCATCGAAGAAGTGGGGCTCTACTATCTGCACCGTCTGTTCCATGAATGGAAGGCTGGCTATAGGGTGGTACATAAGCTCCATCATACGTAATGAACAGCCTTCAGTCATTGTTATGATCAAGACTAATCAGGTTCACATCCCCTGTCCCTCTACAAGCTCTATATAATCACCCACTCGATCAAGTTATCATCAATGTTACCCCTATACTCGCCGGACCAATAATAATGCAATCTCATGTACATCAAATCCTTGGAATCGTTCCATACTGGAAAGTAGATACTAACCTTCGCTCTGTGGTTAACTTTCTCCTTCGTTAACACGCTGGTCTCTCACTCGGGATATAACTTCGTTACTGTAAGGTATGAGCTCTTAAAGACTTATCTATTGTTGAATATCCAGGTAATGAACCCTGATATGCATGACCTACACCATGAGCAATGCGGGTGTAACTACGGTGTGCTTGGGATCCTCGACTACCTGCACGGTGGGATTCCCAGCATCGAGACTTAGCGATGCCTCCGTTCTTTAAGGTACATACCGCGTTAGGTTAAATGAGGTTGGATGTGACCTTGGTGACAAGAGTTAAAATTTCAAGCGAAGATAATACAGTCTGTCGACTTGCATATCTTATTTCAAACCGACATATACATGGAATGAAGATTTCCCAGAGTGAAGGATGGTCGATTACACATGTATATGCTCCGGCTCCAGCATGGAGCAGCTGCTTGCTTTCATTGTACATGCGTGCACCCTCATGGTGCGCATGTATAATCCATCCGTCCGTCCGTCCGTCCGTCCGTCCGTCCGTGCGCGCGCAAACCTAGCTCCCCGGATCGATCTCGATATGTTGTGGCCGAACGGCGCGTTTTTCACGACGCAACAAGTCTTCAAGATGGTCTTCAAGATCTTTTCAGTTCATATTAGAGATATTGAGTTAAAAAATTCTTCATGTCAGTTTAAATTGTACCACCGAGTGGCGTTGGTTAATTTAGATTCCCGTAGTGTGCACCTGTACAACGTTGGTACTAGTAGGTCCATTCTGAGAAGGACTCTGGATATTTCCGGCTCACCCTCCTAGCTATTCGAAGCTGTATGGGACGCGGCATTTCCTGTGATGAGCTCCCCTTATTCTAACTCGCTTGGAATACAGAGTTAGAGTGCAGTAAGGCCCATACCTGGCCTTACTCAAGAAAATCCAGACCACTACTCCCAAGAGCCAAAGTGGTGATGCATTGATCTTCCTGAGTGGGGCACAGGAGATTGAATGCTTATTGCGGAGCGAGCGGAGCTTATGTTACTGCTCACGAACACTCGTGTGCGTCCGTCCGTCCGTCCGTCCGTCCGTCCGTCCGTCCGTCCGTCCGTCCGTCCGTCCGTCCGTCCGTCCGTCCGTCCGTCCGTCCGTCCGTCCGTCCGTCCGTCCGTGCGTCCGTGCGTGCGTGCGCGCGTGCGTGCGTGAGCAAAAATCTCGACCCGACCAGGGCGATTCAGAAGACAAACAGGGTATCATTCTGTCACCCGTTGACTGCTAATCAGCGTAAAAATATAGCGAAAGTGTGTCTGTTGCTTCGCCCGCTCATTTTTGACGAAACGGTTCTTCGCACGAGAGATGAACTATTAGCTCAGTACGTTAGTGACCACGACTCTCAATCGAACGACCCAGGGTCGGATCCCACGATGATCACTTTCATCACATGTCCCCATGAGGAGAAAGTGGTCGGCCACGTCGACGACACCAGCCAACCTTCGGCAACTTCTTGTTTTTTAGTAACCCAATTTACAAAATAATTTCAATTAGAGCCCGCTGTATTCTTGACAGGAAGCTCAGCGAGACCTGGTGCAACGCTATACGAGATGAGCCCGAGATCTCACGTATGTCGATACCTGTAACAGCATACCACTCGTTGTATCGCAATTGATGGTATACGCTTTGTGATCGACAGTGGTAAAGTTGAAGAGCTGAGTGTGGATGCGGGAAGCAGTACTAGGCGATTGGCAGAGGCTCTGCCGCAGAGCAATGGATAACACTGGCTAGTGCTGATCAACGGAAGGGCAGATCAAGCCGCACGGGGCCTGGACAATATTACAGGATGTGTGTTCAAGACTGTATCACTCTTCGCGACTGCATTACTCCATGCAGGAATGCGGTAAAGCTTAGTCAGTACATGCTGGCTTACACTCGCCCGGAAGGGTGTGGGAAAAGGATACCACCAGATTTGTTGCTGCTGTCATCACGTTATTCAGATTACTCGGATCTTCGACCCCTTGGTCCATAGTCTGCTGCAATTGTTGGCTCTAGATGTTAATGTATCGGGAGAGGAATTTAAGTTTCCCACTGGTATTCACTTCATCTTTCATATCATTCTCTATAGCTTTTATCAAACATTCAGGAGGACCCTATGAGATTAGCGCACAATTACCTGTGTTTTGCTAGAGCAACTACTAAGGGCAGTAACTCAACAGCATTACATCTGACATCGACTGGCAGAGTATGCGTCCCCCTGCTCATATTTTCATATTAACCATATGAGGTACTCTTCCGGCTACCCGCCTGGCTCGCAGTAGCCATCTGCCTCAAGTTTGCATCATTTTGCGCCCCACATGCCACCATCAAACGCCGACCCTATTCAACAGCTTCAGCAGCAAGTCAAGAAGCTAATGAAAGAAGTCGCACTGAAGCAGAAAGCCGTAGTTGGAGAATCTGAATCCGGAAGGCCAAAGGATGTGGGAATGTGTATCACATTATTAGAGTGATCAAAAGAGTGGGATCTGGAGTTATGGACCGCCGTAACGAAGTTAAAGCACATGCTGTCCAAATCGTACAGTTGGAACCGAGGATAAGTGAGCAGCTAAATGGTTTCGGGGGCATGATGAAGGATGAGCACTCTATCATCACCCGCAATAAAACAGGGCCCCCCAGAGAGAAAACCTTCATCCAGCTATGCTACAGTCAACGACCACTGGGG